GGAGAAACCCCGAGAGTATGGCCCCTGGACACCCTTTTAGCTCAGGGGTGAAGTCACTCCCGAGGTTCACTGTTCAGCCGGGGATTGGACAGCCCCATAAAACAAAACGGGACTAATGAGGCACAGCAGTCCAGGGACAAGGACTAGAAGACAGAAGGGGACAGGAAAGCTGGTGATAGGGAACCCAAGGTTGAGTAAGAACAGTGTTGTCATGTAGTGGGGTTGTTAACCATTGTCATAGGGCAATATGTGTACTAACTGTTTAATGAGAAACTATTTTGTTCTGTAAACCTTCATGTAAAGTGAGAGTATCAGTACAACTGGAAGAATGTAATCGATGTCATGGAATTGTACATGTAGAAATTTTTGAAATGGTCTATCTCTGGCTATATTCCCCCCCCTCCAAAAAAAAAAAGGTCCTCGAAGGTCGAGAAGGGAGAGTGTTGACATGTCGTGGGATTGTTAACCAATGTCATAAAACAATATGTGTACTGGCTGTTTAATGAGAAGCTATTTGTTCTGTAAACCTTCACCTAAAGTACAATTAAAAAAAAAAAAAGTTCAATCCAGCTTTGGATGATGAGGTTTAAAGTACTCAAAAGACAGTAAAAGCCAAACGGGGTTGAGGCAGGGAGGACAATGCATTATGACCAAGATGGGATTAATTGCAGGAATGCAAGGTTGGTTTGACATTTGAAAATCAAAGTAATTTACTACTTTAGCAATAAAAGTGAAAAACCATATTACCAGCTCAATAGATGCAGAAAAAGCATTCAGCACCTATCTATGATAAAAACTTTAAGCAAACTGGAAATAGGAGGGAACTTTCTTAAGTTGATAAATTTTATCTATAGAAACCTACAACCGCCACCATACTTAATGGTGAAATGTTGAATGCTTTCTCTCTCAGGTTTGGATCAAGACAGGATATCTAGTGCATGACTTCTGTTCAACATACTGAAGATCCTAACTAGTGCAATAAAGCATGAAAAAGAATTTAAAAAATACAAAGATTAGAAAGGAAAAAGTAAATCTGTTTTGATCCATAGATTACATGATTGTGTACTTTGAAAATTCAAAGGAATCTACTGTCACACTATTAGAATTAATAAGTGAAATTAGCTTAAAACCATAATGAGATATTACTTCGTACCTGCTAGAATTGTTGTTATCAGAAAAATGGAAAATAACAAGTATTGACAAAGATGTGGAGAAATTGGCATCCTCATGCATTGCTGGTAGGAATGTAAAATGGTGCAAGCACTGTGGAAAACAGTTTGACAGTTCCTCAAAAAACTGAACAGAATTACCATATGACCAAGCATTTCTACTCCTAGGTATATATCCAAAAAGAATTGAAAGCAGGAACGTAAACAGATACTTGTACACCAATGTTCACTGCAGCATTATTCACAGTAGCCAATATGTACAAACAACCCAAATGTCCATCAGCAGATGAATGGATAAACACAATGTGGTATATATGTACTATGGAATATTATTCAGCCATAAAGAGAAATGAAGTTCTGATACATGGTATGATATGGATAAACCTTGAAAACATGCTGAGTGAAATAAGCCAGACACAAAAGGACAAGTATTCTATAACCTGAACTTATGTGAAATGTCTAGAATAGGCAAATGCATAGAGACTAGAGTTTATTAGTATACTAGAGGTGGGTGGGACGGGGAAATGGGGAGTTATTGCTTAAGGGGTACTGAGTTTCTGTTTAGAGTGATGAAAACTTTTGGAAGTAGATAGTGGTGATGGTTGCACAACATGATGAATATAATTTATATCACTGAATTGTACACTTAAAAATGGTTAACATGGCAAATTTTTTGTTACATATATTTTACCACAAAAAAAACTTTTAGAAAGTAAATAAGGTGAATTTAGCAAGGTCACTGTAACCAAGTCAGTATATAAAATCAATTGTATTTCTATTTTGTTAGCTTGAGCAAACGGAAAATAAAACAATAGCATTTACATTAGTATAATAAGAAAACATGGAATATTTAGGACAAACTTAGTGAAAGCTGTGCCAGATCTCAACACTAAAATGACAAAATATTAATGAAAAGACACAGATAAAGGAGTCTTACATAGATGGAGAGAGAGATCACATTAATGAATTAAAATACTCAAAGACTGTTAAGATGTCGTAATTATTATTTTTACAAAATTGAGCTATAGATTTAATGCAATCCCAATGCAAATCCCGGCAGATATTTCTATGGAAATCAACAAACTGATTCTAAGCTTAATGTGGAAATACAAATGATCTAGAACATCGAAGACAGTCTTGAAGAAGAACCAAGTTGGATCACTTAAAATAGTAGATATCAAGATTTACTGTAAAGCGACAGTACTTTAAACAATGTAATATTCACACAAGAATAGACAAATAGACCAATTAAACATAATAAGGAATCCAGAAATAGATTTACATATATATGGTCACTTGAATTACAACAAAAGCAACCATTCCAGTTCATTGAGGGGAAAGGATGGTCTTTTCAATAAATGTGCATGGTATCTATATGGGCGAAAAATGAGCCATGACCCCCAGTCTCATACCATGCATAAAAAAAATTCAAGATGGATCATAGAACTAAATGTAAAAGATAAACATGGTGATATAGCTTCATGATTTTGAAGTAGGCAATATTTTTAAAATTTTTTAAATGGGACTCAGAAAGTGCTTATAAAAAAAATTGAATGGATCAAAGACCTGAAAGTTAATCCTAAAACTATAAAGTTCTTGGTAGAAAACATAGGAACAAAACTATGGGACCTAATATTAAAAAACAAAACGATAAAACCTATCAATTACAACTATAAATGCACAAACAGCAGAAGACAAATTAGATAACTGGGACTTTATAAAAAATTAAATACTTAAATGTTCATCAAAAGACTTTATCGAAAGAATAAAAAGACAACCTACAGACTGGGAAAAAATCTTCAGAAATGACATACCTGTTAAGTGTCTAATCTCTAAAGCGTATGGAAAATGTCAACAACAACGACAGAAAGACAAACAACCCAAGTAAAAAGTGGGCAAAGGGCATGAACCGACACTTCACTTAAGAGGACATTCAAGTGGCCAGTAAACACGTGAAAAGATGCTCGCAATTATTAGCCATTAAAAAATCCAAACCAAACCCATTGCTGTCTGGTTGATTCCAACTCATAGCAACCCTATAGGACAGAGTAGAACTGCCCCATAGGGTTTCCAAGGAGTGGCTGGTGCATTTGAACTGACGACCTTTTGTTTAGCAGCCGCACACTTAACCACTGTGCCACCAGGGCTCCTTAATAGCCATCAGAGAGATGCAAATAAAAACTATGATGGGGTACCATCTCACCCCTGCTAAAATGGCATTGAAAAACAAAACAGAAGTAATAAATGCTCGTGAGGATGTGGGGAGATTGGAACCCTAATACACTGCTAGTGTAAAATGGTACAACCGCTATGCAAAACAAATGAGAAAACTACCTTATGATCTAGTAATCCCACTTCTGGGTATATACCCTAGAGATCTAATACAAAGACACAACTAGACATATGCACAGCTATATTCATTGCAGCACTATTTGAAATAGCAAAAAGGTGGAAATAGTCTAAATGCCTATCAACAGATGAATGGATAAACAGCATGTGGCACATACATACAATGGAATAATGATGAGTTTTCGAAACATGCTATAACGTGGATGAATCTGGAGGATGTTATGCTAAGTAAAAGAAGTCAGTTACAAACGTACAAAGATTGTATGATCTCACTTTTATAAAAAGACAAGAAGAGGTAACATACAGAAACCAGTGTTCATTGGTTTTTACCAGGGATGAAGGGGGAGGGAGAAGTAATCACTCTCTAGATAGTAGACACTTCTTATTTTTGGTGATAGGAAAGATAACACTGAATGTGAGTGAAGTGTGCATAGCTGGACAGAGGTAAATGATGTCGCTAAGAAGTACACAAGAATAAAGGATGTTTTTGGTTAAAAAAGAAAAAGAAAATAAATTAGACATTATTAAAATGAAGGCTTGTGTTCATCAAAAGACCATTCAGAGAGTGAAAAGCTAAGCTACAACTTGGGAGAAGATATGTGTGATAAATATATACGAAAAGAAGTAGTAGAAAGAATACATAAAGAACTCCTATAAATCAATAAGAAAAAAGACCTCAAACAAATGGGCAAAAGGCTTGAACAGGTAATTCACAAAAGAGGATATCCCGGTGGTCAATAAGCACCTGCAAAGATGCTCAACATCTTACTCAGGTTTCGTTTTCTCTCTCATTTCATCTTTCTTGCTGCCTGAAAACAAAAACAAACGAGCTTTGTTTCACGTGAGTTACTGCTCTTAGCCACAAGGAACAAGTCAGTAACAAAAATAAAATGAAGTTACAAAGGTTTTGGGAGCTTATAAAGCACTCACACTTTCTATCTGTTCTGTATTTCTTGCCTCCCTTCTGAGATGAGAGTAGACATAGTACTTTGTGACCAAATTATTATGTTTAACATTTATACATTTCCAATAGGTTAAGAATCACAGTATGAGATTTTATTGATTCTCTGAAAGAACACCATTCTTCCCTTGTGAGATTAGTTAACTTTCTCAGGGTATTGTTTTATAAACTTCTATGTAGTCCATAAAACTTCAAAATTATAATTAGCCAAAATAAAGTAATGGCTTAACTTGTTTTACTTTAAGTCTTATGATCTAAGAATTTAATTAGTTGAAGGAAATATAAGAAAGCTTTTCTATTTTTCAGAATGAGGGTTATTGAAAATAATTCCTCAAGGATTCAAATGCAGATAGAGAAAATGAAACAGCTTAGAGCAGAGTACGAAAAGGAAGAAGTAAAATATTGTACTTTCTCCAAAGATCCTTCAAAACCTATTCCAGGTACTGTACTTTGTTTAAAATATTTGAGAGATATTGCAATTATTATGTATTGTAGAAATTAACCATGTATGTGTTGATATGTGTACATTTACCAAGTGTATGCTGTACAACTTTAGCAAGTACTCTAGGCAGATACAAAAGAATGAGAAGATTTAAAAAGCTCTAAAAGATTACAAGAGTTACAGTCTAGCTGGGTTATATAAACCAGTGGTATAATGCTTCTTATAGTTCGCCCATCAACATCAGCATCACTTGGGAATGTGATAGAAATGCATATCCTCAGGCCTCACTTCTGACCTACTGAGTCAGAAACTAGGGCTAGAGTCCCGCAGTCAGTGTTGTAACAAATTCTCCTGGTTATTATGGTGCTCTCTAAAATTTACAAACTACTGGTATAATTTGGGCTCCACTTTTGGTTTTTTTGTTCCAGTTTTGTATAGTATGGAAAAACTGTAGTGTGTTACTTTTCTGGTGAATATTGTTGATTCCTGTGGATATCAGCATTCACTGGTTTCACATCTTCAGAAATTGGAGTTCACTTGAGGTGTAATCCATATAGAAGGCTGTAGTCTCTGATCATCATTAAGTACTTCAAGTCTTCTTCACTTTTCAGCAAGCAAGGTTGTGTCACTTGCATATCACAGGTTGTTAATGAGTCTTTCCTACGATCCTTATGCCCCGTTCTTCTTCATACAGTCCAGCTTCTCAGATTATTTGCTCAGCATACAGATTGAATAAATATGGGGAAAGGATACAACCCTGATGCACACCTTTCCTGTTTTTAAACCACGCAGTATCCCCTTGTTCTGTTCAAACAACTGCCTTCTTGCTCTAAGTACAGGTTCCTCATGAGTACAGTTAAGTGTTCTGGAATTCCCATTCTTCGTAATGTTATCCATAATTTGTTATGATCCACACAAATGCCTTTGCATAGTGAATACAACACAGGTAAACATCTTTCTGGTATTCTCTGCTTTCATGATCCATCTGACATCAGTAATGCTATCCCTTGTTCCACGCCCTCTTCTGAATCCAGCTTGAATTTCTGGGAGTTCCTTGTGGATGTACTGCTGCAACCGCTTTTGGATGATCTTCAGCAAAATTTTACTTGTATGTGATATTAATGATATTGTTTGATAATTTCCACATTCTGTTGGATCACCTTTCTTTGGAACGGGTACAAATACGAATCTCTTCAGTAGGTTGGCCAGGTAGCTGTCTTCCAGATTTCTTGGCATAGACAAGTGAGCACTTCCAGTGCTGCATCCGTTGTCGAAACATCTCAGTTGGTATTCCCTCAATTCCTGGAACCTTGTTTTTCGCCAGTGCCTTCAGTGCAGCTTGGACCTCTTTCTTTAGTACCATTGGTTCTTGATCATATGCTATCTCCTGAAATGGATGAATGTCAACCAATTCTTTTTGGTACAGTGACTCTGTGTATTCCTTCCATCTTCTTTTGATGCTTCCTATGTCATTTAGTATTTTCCCTGTACAATCCTTCAGTGTTGCAATTTGAGGCTTGAATTTTTAATTCAGTTCTTTCAGCTTGAGAAATGCCAAGTGTGTTCTTCCCTTTTGCGTTTCTATCTCCAGGTATTTGCACATTTCATTATACTTTACTTTGTCTTCTCATGCCACCCTTTGAAATATTCTGTTCAGCTATTCTACATCATCATTTCTTCCTTTCTCTTCAGCTAGTCTACATTCAAGAGCTAGTTTCAGCATCTCTTCTAATATCCATTTTGGTCTTTTCTTTCTTTCCTGTCTTTTTAATGACCTCTTGCTTTCTTCATGTTTGATGTCCTTGATGTCATTCCACAACTTGTCAATTCTTGAGGTGGTCTCTAAATTCAGGTGGGATATACGCAAGGTCGTACTTTGGCTCTCGTGAACTTGTAATTTTCTTCAACTTGAACTTGAACTTGCATATGAGCAATGAATGGTCTGTTCCACCGTGGGCCCTTGGCCTTGTTCTGACTGATGATGTTGAGCCTTTCTGTCGTCTCTTTCCACAGATGCAGTGGATTTGATTTCTGTGTATTCCATCTGGTGAAATCCTCATGTATAGTCACTGTTTATGTTGTAGAAAAAAGGTATTTGCATTGAAGAAGTCCTTGATCTTGCAAAATTCTGTCTTGTGATCTCCAGCATTGTTTCTGTCACCAAGGCCATATTTTCCAACTACCAGTCCTTCGTCTTTGTTTCCACTTTTTGCATTCCAATCGCCAGTAATTATCCATGCATTTTGATTGCATGTTTGATCAATTTTAGACTGCAGAAGTTGGTAAAAATCTTTAATTTCTTCATCTTTGGCCTTAGTGGTTGGTGCATAAATTTGAATAATAGTTGTATTAACTGGTCTTCTTTGTAGACGTATGGATATTATCATATCACTGACAGCTTTGTACTTCAGGATAGATCTTGACATTTTTTTTTTTGATGATGAACACGACGCCATTCCTCTTCAATTTGTCATTCCTGGCATAGTAGACCATGTGGTTGTCTGATTCAGAATGGCCAATACTAGTCCAACTTAGCTCGCTAATTCCTAGCAAACTACAAATAAGATACTTACGAATGAGTACAGAATAATTGACAAATTGATTAAATGTTGAGAGAATTCAGGATAAAGGAATGATTGAAATCAAGTAGGATTAACTTGGGAGTTTCTGGAGAATTTTGAGGTGTGTGGAGAGGATGAAAAATGGGCAGAAGTAGAAGGGAAGGTGTTTGAAGTGTAAGTGTGTGTGCTTGTGTTTGAATTGAGGAGACAATGAGTGAGGGAGAGAGAACTGAAGGTTTGGCAAGCATTTTTCAGTTTTGTGTTGGAGAGAGTAAGTATTACCCTGAGGTTAGCTGTAATAGTAATGGGAGGTTTAGTTAGAAAGAATTCAGTTGACAAGAATTCTAAATTGTTAGGTATAGGCTCGTGGTATGATTGAGCAACAGTACTATATAGAGGTTTGCAGGGTGTGGTGATAAGGTCTTTTTTTATTTTTAAAGATTTAAGGTTTGTATGTCCGCAGGACAGTCATTGATGATAGGCTTAAAATTGCTGTCATTAAGATTGTAGGCTATGTCTTTTACGTTTGGTAAGGTACAAGTACATGCTACCATTTCTGAATGATTTCTTAAGATAGTAAAGTGTCTCCAAGACTTGCTGTTTGAGCACACGAGTCCCACTAAAGGCTCATTTGATTTGCTCCCTTTTGCCATAGGCATGACTCTCCAAGAATCCGTCAATCTAGATGCTCTCACTAAACACCTGAAACATCTTGAAGATAAATATGCGGAAATTAAACAAACGATGTCGATAAAATATGTGTCAGCTCAAAGGAAGGCTGATTTAGATGAGGAAATGACTATGTTGTTAAAACGGAGAGATGTAGCTGAAAATCTGAACAAAGAGTTACAGTTCCGGTATGAGAGTTGACTATATATATATGTTTTTGTTTTTGTTTTTTTAAATTGTACTTTAGACGAAGGTTTACAGAGCAAACTAGCTTCCCATTAAACAATTAATACACATATTGTTTTGTGACATTGGTTGCCAACCCTATGACATGTCAACACTCTCCCCTTCTCAACCTTAGGTTCCCCATCACCACCTTTCCTGTCCCCTCCTGCCTTTTCGTCCTTGTCCCTGGGCTGGTGTGTCCATTTAGTCTCATTTTGTTTTATGGGCCTGTCTAATCTTTGACTGAAGGGTGAACCTCAGGAGTGACTTCAGTACTGAGCTATAAGGGTATCCAGGGGCCGTACTCTCAGAATTTCTCCAGTCTCTGTTAGATGAGTAAGTCTGGTCTTTTTTTTTTTTTTTTGAGTTAGAATTTTTTTCTACAGTTTTCTTCAGCTCTGTGCGGGACCCTCTATTGTGATCCCTGTCAGAACAGTTGGTGGTGGTAGCCGGGCACCATCTAGTTATGCTGAACTCAGTCTGGTGGAGGCTGTGGTAGTTGTGGTCAATTAGTCCTTTGGATTAATCTTTCCCTTGTGTCTTTGGTTTTCTTCATTTTCCCTTGCTCCAGAAGGGATGAGACCAGTGGAGTATCTTAGATGGCCACTCACAAGCTTTTAAGACCCCAGACACTACTCACCAAAGTAGAATGTAGAACATTGTCTTTATAAACTATGTTATGCCAATTGAACTAGATGTTCCCTAAGACCATGGTCCCCATAGCCCTCAGCCCAGCAATTCAGTCCCTCAGGGAGTTTGGATGTGTCTATGGAGCTTCCATGACTTTGCCTTGTACAAGTTGTGCTGACTTCCCCAGTACTGTGTACTGTCTTACCCTTCACTGAAGTTAACACTTACCTATTGTCCATTTAGTGTTTTTACCTCCCCACCTTTCCCCTCCCCTCCCTCATAACCATCAAAGATTGTTTCTTTTTGTGTGTAAATCTTTTCATGAGTTTTTTAGTAGTGGTCTCATACAGTATTTCTCCTTCTGTGATTGACTTATTTCACTCCACAGAATGCCCTCCAGATTCATCCATGTTGTGAGATGCTTTGCAGATTCATCATTGTTCTTTATCGTTGTGTAGTATTCCATTGTACATAGTTTGTTTATCCATTCATCTGTTGATGGGCATCTAGGTTGTTTCCATCTTTTTGCTATTGTGAACAATGCTGCAGTGAACGTGGATGTGCATATGTCTATACATGTGACAGCTCTTATTTCTCTAGGACCTATTCCTAGGAGTGAGATTGCGGGATCGTATGATATTTCTATTTCTAGCTTTCTAAGGAAGTGCCATATCGTTTTTCCAGAATGGTTTTACCATTTTGCATCCCCACCAGCAGTATATAAGCCTGCAGCCTCTCCAACATTTGTTATTTTCTGATTCATGCCAATAATGCTGGGGTGAGATGGTATCTTGCTGTGGTTTTGTTTTGCATGATTATATATGTTTAAAGTTTGAATCTTTTTTTGGTGTTTATTCTAATATTCCGTCGCTTGATTTTAGGCTCATATGTTGTTGCTGTTTGTTGTCTTTGTAGTCATCGAAGAATGCAGATTATTTCACACGCACTTACATCATGGCTAAGATCGGATAAGAGCAGCTCATTTCAAGACTTTGTGGAGCAAATTCAGAAAACCAAAGATTTACATGGTAGTTATCTATATTTTTAAATTAGCACAAATAATGGAATACTTTTCTTTTTTCCATAAAGCTAAAGAGTGGGTCTTTCCTAGACTGAATTTAAAGGAAGCAGAAAAATATTTCTGCTAGGTCTCTGTTACCCTGTGAGCTTCTTCCTTCAACAGCTACCAGATGATTGGTAAAGAACAGACTTGATGTTCTTTTCAGACCAAATACTTGAAAATGTACCTGAGAACAAGGAAGAAAGGGACTGGGAGTCAGCTCAGTTTAGGAAGAGATTGGTGTTGTTAGAAACCATAGCATTAAGTTGTTGGAATTGGCAAGTGCCACGTTGCCAATCCTCTTCCACATGTTGCTGTAAAAAAAAAAAATAAGCATAGTGCACTTATGAAAATACCTTGAGGGGGGAGGGCGCAGCTGGCAAACAAACGCAGAAGGTTCATGTTATTGGCATAAAATGCAGTATGTGTGTTTGTGTGTGTGTGTGTGTGTGTGTGTATTCTGTTGATTGACACAGTGGCTGCAACAATGGGCTCAAACATTGCAACGATTGTGAGGATGGTGCAGGACTGGGCAGTGTTTCGTTCTGTTTTATACAGGGTCACTATGAGTCAGAACCTACTTAACCAGACCTGACAACAACAACAACAAATATATATATATATATATTTCTATTGATAACTATCTTTGAATATCTTACGGTGCTGCTTTTAATATTACAGGTGACGAAGGCATTGTTGAGGAATTACTTGAAGATGATCCGAGCAAGGCAAAAGAAGCTGAAATTTTGCTTCACTATATTGAAAGGCAAATAACTTAACAACTTTGATTTTCAATGTTAATATGACCATATTTAGCATCTATTTAGCATTTCTGACTTTTATATCTTTAAAATTCTATTCAAGTAGACAAACCAGAAAATAAACTAAAATATAATTTTTGCATAGATTCCTTGTGGAAAAAAAATACCAAATTGGTAGTTTGGGAGATTTTTCAGAAATGATAGGAGAATTGAATTTTTAATACAAGTTTTATTTATATTTTTCTTGTATTCTCTAGTCTTCAGCCTGATGTTCCAAGTACTATTGAGAATATATCTTCTTGATTCAGATTATCCTGGCCAATTCAGTACTTTTTTCCTCATTATTTCCATCCTGTGACATATTAAGAAGGCATATCTCACCCTAATACTTATTAAGTTATTGTATATAGTGTATAATAGAGGCTTAAAGAGATCTAAGATTATATTCTTTTTTTAAAAAAAATTTATTTTCATAGTTTAAGTGAAAGTTTACAATTCAAGTTAGTTTCATACAAAAATTTATACATACATTGTTATGTGACCCTAATTGCTCTCCCTGTACTGTGTCAGCACATTCCTCCTTTCCACCCCTGATTTCCCATGTCCATTCACCCAGCTCCTAACACTCTGCTGTCTCATCTCACCTCCAGACAGGAGCTGCCCGTTTAGTCTCATGTATCTACTTGAGCTAAGAAGCACACTCTTCACGAGCATCATTTTATGTCCCACAGTCCAGTCTAATCTTTGTCTGAAGAGTTGGCCTTGGGAATTATTTTAGTTCTGGGTTGACAGAGAGTCTGGGGGCCATGCTTTCTGGGGTTCCTCCAGTCTCAGTCGGACCATTAAGTCTGGTCTAAGACTATATTCTTTAAGAAGTTAATTTATAGGTTATAGGACCAATATATAAAGAACATTATGTAAGATTCCTAGTCTTATATGTTTAACAGTTTTCAATTGTTGATTTGCTTGTCAATATAATAAACAGCAGGTAAAGATCTCATTTTTTTGGCACCAAATTCTAGGTTACTTCCTTACGCTGTATCCTTCTCAAAGTCTACCAACTTAAGATATGAGAGAAAAATCCCTTGCTGAGTTAAAGGATTATGTATTTTGCTTAATATTAATTGCCTTAGTGGCTTTCTCATCCAGAGCTGTACATTTCTTTGCAGCTTTGTAAGTTCTGCTTGCCATAGTTTATTAACTGTCAGGTTAGGGCTGATTCAGAGACTTTTGCCATTGGAAGAGAAATAGAAGTTCAAGTTATCTTAACTCTTACCTTTCCTTCTTATGCTAGTCTGGTATTACAGTGAGAGTGTGATCTATGGCAGAGTGTTGTATGATTCTGAGTACTGGGGACACCTCTTGATCTCCATCTTGGCAGCCTGTGTATTCAATCAATATTCTCTCCTAGGCTGAGCCTCTAAGCATATTGCCCTTCTTTCCCCTGATCCCCCTTCTTGTTTGGAGATGATATGAGAGAAAAAGAAATCAGAGCTCATTGTAAATTCACTTCAAATTCTTTCATTCTATTCTCTGTGGCTTGCTGTAAGTACTACAGGAATAGAGCACAGGATCTTGTTCAAAGTCAGCTGGCAGGTGAGAGTTTTATTCTGAGGCTACAACAAGACAACAGCATTATTAGGGAAGGAACTGAAAGTACATTTTACAGAGTGAATGAACCACTTTTTGTTGTTCTATTTTATTATGTAACTGTATGTAGTCTGTATTAGACATTTCTAATCAGTTTTCTTTTTTTGTGTTACATTGTAATGCATTATAAAATGGAATGGCTGCAGGTTCAATGAATTAATTACACTTGGTGAATATGGAAAGGCAGCTGTTTTTGCAGCGAACAGTCCCAGAAGAATTCTTCAAAACGTTGGTACAATGAATAAATTTAAGGGTAAGCATTTCTCTATTATCCATATATGTATATATGAATTATGCTTTTTTTGCCCCTGATAGAGTAGAAAGAGTATTGATTTGGGAGACTGCGGATATAGGCTCTAGCCCCATTTCTACCATTTACTCAGTTTCCTTTGCTATAACATTATAACATTAGATCTTTTAAATTAAATTTTATATATACAGAAAATTACATATGGAGATGCATATAACACCCATGTACATATTTCTCTTTTCAATGCTGTTAGAGTTTGCTTTATGTATTTTGGAGCCCTGTCATTGGGCGCGTAAATATTTATTATGGTTATGTCCTCATGGTGCGTTGACCCCTTAACCCCCATGTATTTATTATCCAGATAGAATAAATGTTAATATTCTGTCATACTTGCTCAACATCCTTTTAAAAAATTTTTCTTTCCTTTTATTGTGGTAAAACAGGTATAACAAAACATTTGCCGCTTCGACCATTTTTACGTACACGGTTCACTGACGTTAGTTACGTTCCCCATGTTGTGCAACCGTCACGACTATCCATTTCCATTTTTATTTTTGTATCAGTTTTAGAATCACCTTGTCAATTTCCACAAAAAAAAGCAGCTGGGATTTTAATTGAGATTACGCTGAGTGGATAGAGCAACCTGAGGAGAATTGACCCTGAACCATATTGGGTCTTCTGACCAGTGATCACAGTATAGCTCTCCATTTATTTAAGTTGTTTAAGATCCCTCTCAGCAATGTTTAGCAGTTTTCAGTGTACTAGGCTTATACATCTTTTGTCATATTTATTCCAAAGTATATTATAGTTTTTATGCTATTGTAAATCGTATTTTTTATTTTAATTTCTAATTGTTTGTTGCTACTATGTAGAAAAGGAGCCCTGGTGGCGCAGTGGCTAAAGCAATCAACTGCTAACCTGGTTGGTGGTTGGAAGCCACCAGCAACTCCATGGGAGAAAGATGTGGCAGTCTGCTTCAGTAGAGATTTACAGCCTGGGAAACCCTATGGGGTCGCTATGAGTTGGGATTGACTCGACAGCAGTGGGTTTAGTGGGTCTAGTATGTAGAAATAGAATTGACTTCTGTATCTTGATCCTGTGTCCTGCAACCTCACTAAACTTGTTTGTTAGTTCTAATACTATTATTGTGGCTTTCTGAGGATTTTCCACATAGATGATTATGTCATGTGTTAGTAAAGACAGTTCTACTTCTTGCTTTCCAATCTGTACTTGTGTTGTTTCTTTCTCTTGCCTTATTGTTCTGGCTAGATCCTCCGTTATAGTGTTGCGTGGAATTGGTGAGGGGATATCTTTGCTTTGTTCTTCATTTTAAGGAGCAAACATTTAGTCTTTCACCATTAAGCACAGTAGTCCCCATTCTTATGTTTGGTGTCTTAGTTATCTAGTGCTGCTGTAACAGAAATACCACGAATGGGTGGCTTTAACAAACAGAAATTTATTTTCTCACAGTTTAGGAGGCTAGAAGTCCAAATTCAGGGTGCCGCGTCTAGGGGAAGGCTTTCTTTCTCTGTTGGCTCAGGAGGAGGGTCCATGTCTCTTCTGAACTTCTGCTCCTGGGCAGTCGTCATGTGGCTTGGCATCTCTCTTCCCCCATCTCTTCTTCTCACATGCTTGTTTAATCTCTTTTATATCTCGAAAGAGATTGACTCAATATACGTGCTATACTAATCCTGCTTCATTAATGTAACAAAGAAACCCATTTTCAAATGGGTTATAATCACAGAGGTTAGGATTTACAACACATATTTTGGACCAATTTAGAGACACTCAAATTTCCACCCGGACCCATGTATTCTGGCTATGGGGGAGACTTTATCTTTTACCTGACCACAGTAAGCTCCACTTTAACTGGTAGGCTATAGTGGCATATGGGGTCCTTTGGAATTAGAATCAGTTCAGAACCAGTGTCCAGTAATCCCTGAAAGGTTTGGGTATTTTTTTTCCGCCCTCTAGAGTGCCGTGGGAAGCTGGTCACCACATACTGCAGGAGCCTGCCAAGAGGAGGACACTGGCACTAGGAAGAAGCAGCTTCTTCCTCGTGTAAGGTCCTCCAGTACTCTCTGCTGACAAAACTTAATGTCAGGCTAGCTAGCAAAGGAGAAATGCTTACAGAGTCGAGCTCTGTTCTCACAGAGCAGGCAATGGAAGGTGGATTTTGAGTTGAGAGACAATAAACCAATAACTGGCACAGAGAGATTCGGTTGTAATTGTGAATTTGTTAGTACCTTTGCCATTTGACTTTGTAGTACGTCCAGTTAGAGTAGGCAAAGCATATTTCCCTACCTCATTTGACATCAGGCTTGGCTGTGTAACTTGCTTTGGCTCATATGGGATAGTAGTAGATGTTATGTGAGCAGAGCCTTAAATGTAATTGTGAAATTTGGCTTGGCATCTTTTGGATGCTTCTGTAACCTACTTTGAGAAGAATATCTCCACGTAGCCACTTGTTCAAGGAATATGAGAAGGCACGTGGAATGGACTTGAACCCAATCCTCAGTCTGGAAACCAAGCCCAGCCAAGTTGCAGCCTGAAGGAGAGTCTGATCGATAGACCTGTAAGTGAGAGAAGCCAATGCTGTTCTTTTAACCCATTGCGTGTTTTGAGTTTTTGTTACATAGCATCATCACGGCAATAGCTAATGATAACAACTAACAACCCAGAAGCACCATATGTGTGCCCCCGCCTGGTCACAACCGCATCTCTGCCCACCAGGAGTACTATTCTGTTTTTTCTTTTTTTTTTTTTAGCATGTGGCTTTGTTTTTATTTTTTTCAACAAAATGATAACAATTTCTGCTATACCACAAGATATTTCCTTAAAAAAAAATCAGTGAAGTTGCAAAGAAAATACTAAATGCTGCAATACTGTCCCATTCTCCCTTCCTTTGTCCCAAATCAGTCTTCTGGCTGCAAAATTGTCAGGCACAGCATGATGTCTGCTAAAAAGGACTTCAACCCAGCATCTTGTCAAATGTATCCCATGTTTTGTGTTCTCTGATCTTCAAAGAGAACGAACAAACTCGGAGCGTAGGAAGATACTTAGATAGCTTCTCGAGAAGCTGTCATTTCCACGGTAGCTTTGTTCTTTACTACAAAGAGAGGCTGATACTAAAAATTGCTGTTCTTCTGTCTCCTGCTGGGAGCTCTGTGAAGCTGTTTTCCCACACTTGCTGTTCACCCATCTCCGACAGGAGTCCAAGATGGCAAATCCGTGCTGCGTTAGCCGATAGGGGACCTCTGCATGTATCTCTCCTTGCTCTCTGTTCTCTGTCAGTTTCTTATTCCATTCGGTGCTTGGCTGAATTCTTTTTCTCTTCATTTGGTGCTTAGGGTTCCAGGATTGACGTTTGTCTCTGTTTGACTTAGTTTTTTGGGTCTTTGCTGTGGAGGGATGGCGTGGTGCTTCTGTCTGCAGCTCCATGTTGCCCAGAAGTCCCTCTCTGATTTTTTTTTTTTTTTAATGTTTTTGGAAGAAAAATTTATTGTTGCCAGATAACAGGATGCAATAGGATATTGAAGGTTAATTTGAACTTTGGGGTAGCTGAGACATTTGTGAGTGCCTTCTTGGACTGGTTAGACAGCTTCTTACTTTCAGAATCTGCCCCTGAATCAAAGGAGACATCAAAGATTGTTCTGCTCCTCTGTAAAATGCAGGTGGTTATTAACATTTAGATGAGAAATTCATTTGTTCAAGAGAGTGCATTCTAGAGAGAACCCAGAGACAATTAAATTCCCTTTGTTGTTTTTGTTAAGCTATAATGTTTTCTAATGTGAACTCTGTTTTTGCTACTTTGGTCAGCTGAGATATCTTTTTTTCTTACTGTTCAAAAGGAAATAGAATTTCTGAATTCTTATTCTGAAATTTTGATTCAGATTCTTTTTTTTTAGAAGACATGCTCCTTTCTTCTTTTTATTGCCTTCTGTCTTAGTTATCTAGTGCTGCTATAACAGAAATACCGTAAGGGATAAAGGACATGCTCCCCTCCTCGTTCTTGTTTCTTGGTGGCATGAGGTCCTTCTATCTCTCTGCTGGCTTCCCTCTTTTATATCTCAAAAGAGATTAACTCAAGATACAACCTAATCCTGTAGATTGAGTCCTGCCTCATTAATATAACTGCCTCTAATCCTGCCTTATTAGAGGCAGGATTTATAACACATAGGAAAATCACATCCTCTAAAAATGGTGGACAGTCACACAGTACTGGGATTCATGGCCTCGCCAAGTTGACACACATTTTTTGGGGACACAATTCAATCCATTACATCTTCCAAGTGACTTTTCTCCTTCATCCTGCTGTACATATCCCAAACTCTGAGCATCCTTGCTTTATACCGTGGTATAACAAATTTCAGAGGTTGTGGACTTCCTTAAGTTCATCTTGAGAGAAGAGCTGCACCTGTTTGGGGAGACTGACAGCATCTCTGCCTTCTCCTTGCCAAGCCCACTGTCGGGAGACAAGGTTTGGATCTGCAGGACAGCTCTCTTCTAAGTAGTTACCTGGGGTTCCATGCTACAGCATCCTCTAGCTATACCTTTCAAATGTGTGGCTTTCAGGTCAGATTAGTTTTATTATAATAAAAAGGATACAAATGAAAAGATGCACAGAGTGAGGTCTGGGTGAGTCCCCAACCTGTAGCTTGTATATCCCAAGAAGGAACGTGTCACCCTTCCAAGCATCCAGATCTTTCACCGATTAGGAAGCTCCTATTCTGATTTTTTTTTAAACTTTTTTTTTTTTAACTTTAAAATTTATCACTAATGCATATATCCCTCAAGCTACCTATTTGTGAATATTTTGTGAATGGAATATACTGTATGCTTTTGTGTCTTATTTTTTTCACTCAACATTATTCGTGAAAATTTCCCCATGTTTTTGCATGTCACTATGGTTTATTTTAAATCTTAGAGAATGAAAATCCACAGCTTATTTGTTCTACTGTTTATGGACAAATGGGTGGTTTGGGACTATTATAAATAACGCT